CCTTCTATCCATAAAATTTTTTCGATTTTATGCATCTTTCGTTTGTACAAATTTTTATTAATTCTATTTTACATAATTTCCAATCTTTTTCTATATATATATATATATATATATATCTATATATACACATCATATTATCGTTATGAATTTTGTCTTAATATAAATAAAGTATCAATCATCAATTATTATTTACATATTTACTGTAAATTATTAACAATAATTGCTTTAAATACTAATTTATACCTTTTCTCTCTGTACAATATTTTACATTTTGATAACGATGTCATTATCAAAGTATTTTTTTTATCAAAAAAAATTGTTTATTAATCAACCAGTGAAATAATCTAATTCTATGATATTCAATATTTGATTTTATTATGTTATTCTCATGTGTGTTATAAGATGTGTGATGTACAAATTTCTTAAATCGTATAAAATATTGTTACACATCAATGTTTTACATATTATTTTTATGGTAACCTGTAAAATTCTCAAAATGCTATAAATTCCACGATACAATTGTTTTGCAAATTGATACAACATTGTTTCCTTTATTTTGTTAAAAAATAATAGATATTAAAAACTGTCGATATATCCATATTTATAATCGATTCGTTATATAAACGGTGCTTTATAAGGCGATCGTTAATTAACTATGAAAACTAAAATAGAAATTGAATACATTTTATCTCTATTTCTGTGTGCATTTGCTAATTTTTTTTTAATTCACAATCAAAATTAATTATACCCCTAAATTATGCGAACCTATCAATAACTTTACTTCTAACCTTATTTTCAAGCCGAAGACACTAAAGATTAAAAACGTACAGCATTATCCAACATAACATATTCGGGACGGATCGGAAAAATTCGAACGAAATCGTCAGAAATCTCGTATCACTCTAGATTTCTGCGAAAGTTATGAAATCCAGGATTTGAATATAAAAAAAAAAAAGAAAAGAAAAAAAAACATATTAAACAAATTAAATTATTATTTTATCGTTAACCCATGAACATTATCCCCTTTTTACATATTTTCTCTTCCATACGTTCGTTCTCGAAACGATCACGTTCGACTTTTGCCGAACAGAGCCGAAATCGAGTTGTTCTTCGCATTCTTATTACCGATAAACCGAATCTGGATTTCGAAACTTTCGATAATATCGAGATATATTATAATCTCAAATATTTGGTTTAAGAACGATTCACACGTTTTTCCCAAAAAATGATTCCAAAGATACTCTTCGATATTTCTTACCAGATTACAATCATAAAATCTCATCTTCAAGACAAATGATATTTCTTCTTGCAAAGCTTTCTCAGCCTCTCGATACCCTTTGACCGATTACGCCCGTATTCGTGTTCCCACGCATCTAACAACAAATTATAGTATCTTGATTCTTCAAAGAAAGTAAAGTATTGATACGTATCGCACGTAGGGAAGACTCTCTCGAACCGACCCGATTGAGTAATCTCATCCTCGTGTTTTATCAGCACTCTAACGTCATCCGGTGTTAAGTTCTTCAATATCGATTTCAAGTAATATTTCCTACTAGCTTTTTTCATGATAGCGTATTGCTTCTTCCTATCGTCCCACGTCAGCATATTCGAATACAGATGCCTGTTGTAACAGATTACGTGTTTCTTGTAAATCACTCTCAAAACCTTCAGTTCCTTGGGGCTCAACAGATCAGGTACGTGAAAACCGACCAAATTTAGATAATCCTTTGCCAATTGGCCTTTGATCAATTTACAGAGGGGAGTGTCAGATTCCATAGAAGGAAAATCGTTCACTTCGAGTAGCCACGGTCGATAATGTTTATCCAACAGAACGTCGAAACCGAAAAGCTGATAGAAATTGTACGTGCTCATCGAGGTCTTCTTCCACGCTTTGTACAAGGAAGGCTCCGCGGAGATCACGGTTTTAATAGCTATGTCCTTAATCTTGGTCCAGATCTTGATGATGTCCACGTTATCGGTGGAAGCCAAGTACTTCCAAAGGCAGCTCAGCGTCCACATGTTCCCCTTGCCCTGGTTCGGATCGTCGTTCGGCCTGAAGTTCGGATTGAACTTGTTCACGCTTGTGTTCGTGAGGTGCATGAACTTGTTCGACAAGGTGTTCACGTGATTCACGTATTTTTCCGTAGCTAGCCTCACCAAACCCTCCTTGTACACGTATATCCTTAGAGGATCGATGCTGGTCAACAGCACGTACAGCCTCAAGTCGAATTTTATACCGTCGATCAATCTTGGCGAGGAGATGTATCGTTGCACGACGAACGACCGATACGTGGGTATCTCGTACAAATGGGACACTATCTTGATCCCGCTTCCCGCGCAACAATCGGGCGGCTTAACGATCCAAAATCCTCCGTTCTTCTGCATAAATTTGCCCAACAGGTATCTCTCGTCGGGCAGGATGAATGTCAACGGTATGAAATCGAAATTCTTGCTCCCAAACTTTCTCTTCATCCTTCGAAAATTCTTCGAGAGGGCTATCTTGTCACCCAGCTCGATGCTGCTCGGGAAATGATTCACCTTCGAGTAAATTTTCGTCCGTCTTAATCTGGAGTAAGCGGCGGTGCTACACCAGGTGCCGCACCAGTTGTCCGCGGAGCTGCTTGTCGTCTTGAACCCGGATTTCTTCGCCGTGTTGGTCACGATCCCCGTTGGATTCTTCTTAGCTTGCCACCATATCAGGTGTTTGGTGATCTCTGCGGGCAGTTTCGTGGTTTCGTTCGTGTGGAAGATGATGAATGGCGGGACGTAGGCGAACAGGCTCAATCTCATCGGTAATAAGTTTTTGTCACCGGAGCCGACATCGGGGATCGTTCGACGGATTCGATAAGGTCTGGCCTTTAACAGCGTTTCGGTGATCTCGATGTACGTGTACAGTTCGTCGTCCTCGAAATAACTGTTGTTGTACGATAATTTACTGAAGCAAGTGCTCGTGCAATCCTCGGTCATTTGTATTGTCATGTTCCAATTCGGTTTTTTCAAGTTTGTTTCGGGTTGGTTCGAGATTTTCTTAATACTGCTCGGTGGTTCTTTATCGATCGATCGAGTCGATGGATGGATCAGTTGCACTGGAAATTTTTAATTTTTTTTTTGGCCGAAAGTGGAGCGGTGGGGGTTAGTGATGAAGGTGAAATTGCAATGAAGTTTGCGTCTGTCTTTGATGCGCTTTGAAGTTGCCAGATTTTTAAAGCGATTTAAAAGCAGTAGTTTGAAGTTAGAATCAAAAGAATTCGTGTTTTATTGAATAAAATGGGAAATATATATAGGGATATGTTTAGGCGTTGCGTATTTGCCTTGAAATGCGTTTTTTAAATGTGATTGCAAATGAGCTTTCGTTACAATTGATAAGTTTTACGAATTTATAATTGTTTGTCGAGAGCTAAGTTCAGGGAGAATGAAAATATTTGTGACTTTCATGTAAAGGGGATCAATTTTTTAATTTATAAAAGTACACGACTGTACAACTTGTGAATAAACTTTTTTTTAACATTGAAATTAATTTTTCATCAAGTGCAATCTATACTGAAGACATCATCTATTCATCTTATTAAAAATTGAACATATGTTATATCATATATGTTTGGTATAATAATCATTAATATAATTTTGTGTTATAAATAAAATAAAATTAAATGCAAATTGTAATGTTTTATCGTCAAATTTGTTATATATAAGAATTATCGTGGGAGGAAATGATTTGGAAAATTAAAAATACATATATTTCAAATCAATTCTTATTTTTTTATTTTATCGCCGAAGAATTTAAAAAAAGAAAAAAAATTACAATAATACGAAATAATTGACACTGTAATTTGCATGTCTTTTTCCGTAAAATTAACCTAATATTTCGAATTTGTGTCGTTGTTTATGTAAATAGATACAAATCATATTTCAAACGGAAAATAAAATAATATTGTTTGTTATGGTATTATTAAATAAATGATATTATTATTCCTTTCAATAATCATTAAAACAGTGTTCAATGGTTAACACTGGTTAATATAATGCGCAAAAATAAGGGATTCGTTCAATAATGCTATAATAACTTTTAATTAATATCTAATATTAAATGTTTTTTCGTTAACACGTTCTGCCCTGTGTGAATATCTAAAATTATCGATAATAAACATAAAATAAATAAATGATACCATTTATCAATTTGATTTTTCAAATAAAACGATTCGGAAAACTTAATCATTATCCTTCTATCGAATAAAAATTAAATACACTATACTATACTACAACTCAATATTGTTTTGTAATAAAAATTAAATAAGAACCGAACGTGTTAAAAACATACTTACGTTATCGATATAATAGTTTTTCGTATAAAATAATTTGACAATGATATTATTATCTCTTTATAAAATAAAAAAATTAAATAGTCCAATTTAATCGTTAATCTCATCTGATCGTGGAAAACGGATTGAAAAGTTATTTTCAATCTGAGCAATGCAATTGCTATGTACGAATATTACAAAAAAGACCATAAAAAAGTTTTACAAACCTGTATGGATCGATCTTAATCGCGTTTGGTATTGGTACATCCTTCCCGGTTAAATTGAAATTTAAAAAGCAAAAAGAAAATAAGAAAACTAGAAAAAGAAAGAAAAAAATCCATTGCGACAATTTCTATCGTTGTAAAATCAGTTTTATTAAGTCAAATAATGCCATTTACATTAAGGTAAATTTGCACAACCGTAGTAAAGGCACATGACGTAAACATCTGGTGACGTAACCTTTCTATCCAATCATTTCTATACAACAATTGTACTTCCTATACAAGTTGGTGTACGATGTATATATTACGTATATCTATATAAAAAAGGGATAGAACGAAGGACTTTGTGTTTTCTTTTTTTTCTATTTTTCTCTTTTTTCTTTCCTTTTCTGATTCATTT